TCTGTATCTCATTCTAAGTTGCAACCATCACTGCGCTTCACCCTTAACCACATCTGCTTGTAAATCCTAAGAATAAGAATGTTCTCCTACATAACTACAATGCCAGTCTCACACCTAAAACTAACATTCAGTAACATTACCTTGTGTGCTATTCATGTTCAACTGGGGAAATGTCTTTTAAAGGTACTTTTAAAAATTCAAAATGCGATCATCAAAGTTCTTGTATTACATTTGGTTGTTATGTCATTTTAGTCTCTCAGTCCAAAATACTCTGCTGGCCTGTTTCTTGTTTGTTTTTAATGACATTATCTTTTTTTTTTGAAGAACGTAAACCTATTGTCTCGTAGAATGTCCTGCGTTCTGAATCCAAAGAAAGTTTCCTCCTGATCAGTAGTCTGGCATTTAATATGTAATCTGTGGGATGATGTGAGAGACTGTGTGAATATCTTGTTACCCGCAAACCTTTCACTTAATGGTTTTGGATTCTAATGATGATCCTTGTCTTTTTCAATTATGGTGAAAGAAATGGTATTTTTCTGCTTTAGTTCTAACTACATTTATCAGCTATACTTCTGTGTGCACATCATTACTATAGTTGAAGTTAAAGATAAAAATCAACCATTTCCCTCAGGGGGAATAACTCATCAGAGTGGTCAACTTAAGTTGATTGGCACAGTGGGTCAGTATGTGCTGCTGAAGAAGTCAAGGCCATGGCTTCAGTGACCATATGGGACCAATTACTAGGGCTCTGTTTCAAGGCCATGGGTATGATTTTCCTCTGCCAACTCAGGAATGTGTGCCAGAACCCACCTGAGAAACGGGGCATGTAATACGGCTAGATCTGTGCAAATCATTCTAACTCAAAACACAAATTCTACTAATGGCATATCATCTTTTTACATGAAAGATGACAATTATTACTATAAAAAGTCTATTTTTTTCAATTTCTTTCTTTAGGTTCTATTTTACAAATATTTAAAGATTTTTGTGACTTGCTTTTCTATTTCTGGCAGGGATTAAGGACTAGCTACCGTGAATAATACTTCTGCTGAAAATGATGTAAAATATATTCTTAAAAAGATTTGAAGATTCAAAAATTGCCTGTTGCCAGAAAATCTGTTCTCATAAAACCTCTAAAATCTAAAGACTATTTTCAAGAAAAAGCAAAAAATGATCACAGAAATAAAAGAAAAAAATGTTGAACAATTCAAACAAACATTCAATAAAATGATGACAATAGTGTCTAATAGTATGTTAATTGGGAAAGGAGGTGATCAATACTAATGTGTTTTAAAGTCCTTTTATTGTTCAATTGTATTTTAATGCTAGACTTTGTTAAGTTAAGCAAGCATGTTAAAATGCCAAGGGTAATCAATAGAAAGAGTATATCAATTCCAAGTCAATATGTGAGAAAAAATTACATTAAAGAAAAAAAGACACCAAAAGCTCAATAAAAAGTCAAGAAGACAGGAAAAAGGTAAGGGGACAAGTGAGACAAATAAAAAATAAAAAATATCATAGGAAGAAGTTCAAATATATCAATAATTATAATAAGTGTAAATGGACTTAACTCACCAGTTGAATGACAGAGATTGCAAATCAATAAATCATTCAGATAACTGTTACTTATAAAAGACACATCTAAAGCATACGGACACATAAAGATTGAAAGCAAAAGGGTGGAGAAAGCTTTATCAGGCAATTACTAATGAAGGAATCTGATGTGGCTGTAATAGTACCAGAGGAAAAAAAAGAGATTTTAAAGAAAAAAGTATAATGTATACAGAAAGTCACAATGCAATGAGAAAAGTTTGGTTTCATTAGGAAAATATGACAATTCTAAATAAGTGTGCAACTAATTAAGTAGCCTCAAAATATATGTGAACTGACAAACTCCCCACCATCATAGTGAGGAATTCCATACCTCTGTGCATTATTGAAGGAAAACAGACATAAAATAAGGAAACTTTTTATAAGATTAGAACAGACAAGTGCAAAGTTAATTTAATGGACTTCTACAGAATTCTGTATCCAACATTAGAAAATACACATGCTTCTCAAACTTTTATAGATGGAGCACTTATAAAAATTGATTATAATTATAATAAGGTAATGGAGCAAGTTTCCATCAAATTTCAAAGTTATTGTTCTGCCCAAAATCTCGGACCACAATGTAATTAAGTCAGAGCTGAAAAATAAAAGGCTAAATAAAAATTTTCTTAATATCTGTGAGTTAAAATAAATTTCTAAATTACTCAAAAATCAAGGAAAATCATAATGATCATAATGGATATTAAGGATAAATAGTAAGAACTGAAAGAAAATAAAAATGCTTCCTATAAAACATGGAAGGCAATACAAGTAATATTTTGAGAAAAATTTTAGCTTTAAATATTTATATTAGAGAAAAATAAGTGTTGAAAATTAATGAGCTAAGGATATGACTTAAGATATTAAAAGGATGAAAACAATCTAAAGAGGAAATAATGGAGACAACAGCAAAAAAATTAATGAACTAGAAAACAAAGACACAGTAGAGATAATAAGCAAGGAACTGAATTAAAAACAAGAAAAACATTTGGCAAAACTGAGAAAGGAGAAAAAAAGGAGAGAAGGCAGAAATAAATAGCATACTAAAATATTTTTAAAATAAATTAAAGGAATAGAATTGGAGAGGAAGAAATAATAATAATTGTACATTGATTAAAATTTTCAGTTAAAAAGCAACTATTTCAGATTATATAAAAAGTCAAGATACAGGATTTTTTTTACAAGATATACACCCAAAACATAAGGGCATGAAATGTTGGAAGTAAAAGGTTGACAAAGTCATATAGGAGGCTAATGCTAACAAAAAGAGTGACAAAGAAGCTATATTAATACTGTACCAAGTAAACTTTAAGATATAATGTTCAAATAATGTACTACAGAGACATAAAAAATTACTACATAATAAAGTGTCAAGTCACTAGCAAGTTGTAATAGTTCAAAACTTCTATGAACTTAAAGACACAAACATACATGACAAAACTACAAGTAGAATCTGTCAAATCCACTATCACTGTGGAATATTTTAACACATATCTTTCAATAATTGACAGACTGAATACGTTGATAAGCCCTCTTTGGAAAACCACTGATGTGATCTTGTAAATTTAAAGACCTGTGCTAACCTCATGACCCAGAGCTTTCACTTCTAGGCATGTGCCTGAGAGAAACTCTTGCACATGTGAACCAAGAATGTTTGTATCTGCAATGTTTGTAACTGCAAACATTTTAAGCAATTCAATTGTTCAACTGAATGGGCAGTTGCTGTATTCACATAGTAAAACAAAATGCAGAACTGATAATGAATTTCAGCTATATGAGTCAACCTGTATGAATAATAATTTTAAAGTAAACAGACAATTTGCAGAATTACTACACCATTTGTATAAAGTTCAAATAATGCAAACTAAATACTACATTGTCATGCTACAACCATATGTGATAAAACCACAAAGTATGGGATTAATAAACTCAAAATTCTTGGGAGCAAGGCTGCAGGGCTCACAGCAACTGGGAGATCACATGAAAGCATGCAGGAACATCAAATGACTGGCCATGTTTTATTTTTTAAGCTAGGGGCAGGTAGCAGCCTGAGTATTCCTGTGTATCCTGCCTACAAGTATTCTTTTGCACTTATTCAATAATCTGTGTAAATAATATGATTTAGAATAATGTAAATAAGATTGAACAAAGAGAAGTAGGACTTGCAGAGTTCTTATGATTTTGTTTGGGGAGGGTCTAGAAGTTACTGAGTAAAAAAGCAGATATACTAAGAAGATAATTTTTCTTTTTCCAAATGTAGGCCAGATTTAGAAAATGTTTAAGGAAAAACACTAAAATATCCGTGAGCCTCTGCATCATCTCCAAATTCTTTATGTCCTTTTATTTTGCAGTAAAAATTAGACCTGCCGTTATGGGTTTACCAGTACTAAATATATGTATTAATAATTTTATTTTTTCTTTCCTAATCTCACATTTCTTTCTTTCTTGTGTCATCCTGATCTTTGCAAATTATGCCCCTTAACAAATTTAGTAATCAGCCGTTGACCTCCTCACCCCACCCACACCCCCCAACTTGAGGGAATGGGGTGTGATGATTCAGCCAGTGCTTCCTCTGGGGCTGGGAAAACACTCTTATTTGTGGAAACACTCAGGTGCCCAGAACAGATGGAAGTTATATCCTGTAAGAGTCCAAGCAGTGAGTCTCAACTGGGATAGCTGATAAAAGGTTGGGTGGAAAATTTGGCCTGAGGCATGGAGTCAAAAAAGGGTGATATGTAAGTGTGTGGGGTGTGGGGGGCTGCAGAGGAACTGAGGTGCCCAGAAAGCTCAGAGTAAGAAGTAGTAAAACAAGGAAGTGGGAACTAACTCAGACAAATTTGGGGAACAAAGGCAAGTGGGATAAGTTTTAATGAGTTCCCTGTACTGTTCAGTGGGTGTGAGCTGGCTTCCTTCAACAAGAGTCAGGAAAGGATGCTCTGTCTTCCGATTTCATCTTTTAAAAAAAATATCTGTTTTAGGTAATTCCATCAAAGTCACTTGTTTCTTTTATTTATTGATTTAGATACACATAGTTTCTCATGCTTAATTCTTAATAGGACATTAAGCTTCATCAACAAAAGTGTCACTATTCAGAGGGTGGTCAGTGCTATGTAGATGGGTAATTTTGGCAGGCTGTAAATAAAATCCTCATCATCTGTGATCTTGTGAAGAGGAGAAAAATTAATTTAGTTTCAAAGGAACATTTTAATCATAAAGCAGTTAGTAAAATGTTACATTTGAATTAAAGAACAAAGACATTAGTTTGATTATTTTGGGATTGCCGGATAGTGGTCATTTCAGTTCCAGTCCCTATGTTGCTAATGTTTTCTCAATCACATGCTTATTGATTTCCAACGCTCAAGCCAAGAATAGATAATAAAACAGGCCACCTTTTAAAATGAGTAAATAAGATAAAGTAGACATGTTACTGAGTCCAAACTTGCTCTGCTTGCTGTATGACAGGCCAGTGAATCGGGAGATGAGGTGTTGGGGCAAGGAATAATGGCTTTGTCCAGAGAGCCAGCAGACTGAGAAGATGGCAGTTCTTCCTGGAGCACATTCTCACCCAAGTCAGAATTCAGGCTCCTTTTATACTAAAAAGGGGAGGAGGTGTGGTTGATTGTTGCAAACTTCTTGGTGTTGGAATCCTTTTTCTGGTGTGTGTATAGGTCAGTTAATGATTTTCCTGTAAACCTCTAACAAGACAAAGTTTATTTTCTGTTTTGCAAATTTTTATCTCTATCTTAATGGAAAAGTGTTACGCAGTTAAAGGTTAGAGCCTTGAGAATGGGCTAGCCTGTACGTTTCAAGCTATAAGCAACATTCTTTTACGAAAGATGCAGAACCAGCATGACTCAGCACAGGAAACAGAGCACAGGGTTAGAGCTAAAGCAACAGATCTAATATGGAGTCAGATTTGTTATTCCCTATTACATGCATACTTGTCCAACTCAGAGATGAGAATTACTTTGGTCACATTCTTTTCCCTGCAAAAAAGTCACAGGTGACCTTATAGTACCCAAGAAATTTTGGTCAGGTGATTCAAATCACAGAGTTTAAAGACTCTTGAAAATAAAAGCCTCACCCAAACAATTACTAAGTATTATTTAGGCTAACAGAAAAATAAGTTATGCCTGTTTTCTTCATTCCAAAGTTAAAATTCGAAGTTAAATGCCTATTGGATCAATACCAAGTTTAATAGCAATATTCTAACTGAATAAGAGTATGGGATGAGAATGGTGAAGGAAATGAATTGCTGCTGTCTAAAAATACTGTAAGACAGAATCTACCGCCTTTCCCTTCTAACTCTCCTCCTTCCTTTGATATTACATTAGGAGAGAGGACTATTAAAAAATGGAGGAAAGTGTTGTCTTAACAGCAAAAAACAGAAAACGGCCTGTTGTTGGATCGTCACCTGCAAGGTGGTTTGCACTCTTGTCAATATCAGCAGTCAGCTCTCATATGAAGAGTTTGTGAAGGCTCCGTTAGCTCTCAAGAGGTGTTGTCGGCAGCCTTAAGTGAGTAGGCCGTGGGGCCCAGGCCGAAGTTCACAACAGCTCGCACCTGGTGAGAGGTAAATGTACGCGTGCGCTAGTAGCGTGACTACGCATTATGAACAATACGCATGCGCCAATGGCATGAGTAAGCATTATGAACAATATGCATGTGTGGGCAGAATATATAAAAAGGACAAGTGTGCTGCACTGATGGCGTGCCATTTTGTTGTACTAGAATGAAGTGCTGTTTCGCTCCATGTCAGCTCCTCGTGCCTTCTTTGAGTTGGGGCAGCTCAACTCCTCGAATCCCTCTCCAGCCCTCCTCGGCTGACAGGTGTAAACATTGAGTATTGATTATTACAGAGGTCATTGTCACCTGATACTTGAGAGATAAGTCCTTATATTATATAGCCCTTTAATAATGTACCCCTACTTGTATGTAGAATAAAAATATGATTTCCCCTTGCAAGGATGCCCTTGCAACTATGTTAAACATGCTCCATCCATCTGTCCACAAAAGATTCAAAGATACGTTAAAAAAAAACCTTTTTTTTGGATGCACAGAAATCATGATTTAAACTTACTAGTAAAGTCAGCACAACAGTACCCCACCTTACTGCCTGTGGCAAAAGAAAAAGTTGTTTCATATCTTGGCTCTTGTGAGTAAAATGCATTTTTTTATAGAAGTGAGATAAACTTAATACTTTATATTTTTTTATTCGTTCTTTTTTTTGGGGGGGGGGGATTAGGTTTATTTATTTAATGGAGGTACTGGAGGTTGAACCCAGGACCTCGTGCATGCTAAGCACTTGCTCTACCACTGAGCTATCCGCTCCCCTCCTTTAAACTTATCAATATAATTTACATGGTCTCAGCTGGGATTTGGACTTTAAGTTCTTCTCAGGTAATTCTAATCAGTACCAGGGTTGAGAATCACTGTTTTAAATCAATGATGGTTTCCTGGAGGCTATTTGACTGCATTCTTGTCTCTCCCATGTGAGAAAGTAGAAAGCAGTGATTCTCTAAACTCAGGAAAGTGTAAAAAATCTCCACCTTTGAATCACCAGGGGAGCTTTACAAAAACCGTTGCCTGGGCTGCTGGGTAGAGAAGCACAAGCATAAATATAAGAATGAAAGACTAATAGATTTAATCCTTGATGTACCCTACTTTATATTATTTAAGTAAATCATCTTAAAACTAGTATTAGTTTGAACCATATGAAACTGTTGTTTATGTATGTGCATAAAAATTGTCAGACATCAATCTGATAATTAAAAATTAAAAATAAATTACTCATGTTGCATGTTCTAAATAATTGCAGTTTATTAGTACCAGTGCTAAGAAAAGCTGCTTCATTCACTTGTAAAATGAGAGACTGTCCTAGGTGAGGCTGATGAGGTTAATAATGATTTTGATAATGCTAATAGTTAATATCTTATAAGCGCTTGCCAAGTATTAGTCAATATGTTAAACACTCTACGTATATTCTTGCATTATTCTCACTCCTCTCTCCTCTTCACCAAAACCCCTATGATAGGTACCCATATTATTCCCATAGGTGACGGAACTGAGGCATAGAAAGATAAAAAGATTTACCCAAAGTTACAGTGATATTCCATGGTGGAGCTAGGATTTGGACTTGGACTGCAGAGTTTGTGTTTTTAACCTGTATAAGATGCTACCTCTTTGAGGGTCATGTAGGTTCTTTCCCAGTTTCATAGTTATAGTCTAGGTCACACAGAGTAATGGCTCTGTTTCCACCTGGGCCTGTGCAGATAGCTTGTCACTCTGCAATTCTACCTAATGTCTTTTTTTTAAAGTATATAATGCATACTTTTTATTTTTATTATAGCTCACGCAGTCATGAGTTACATATTCCTTTTCTCTCTCTTTTTTCCCCTTTTCCAGCTTTATTATGTAGAATTATTACAGTTTGACTGCACATACACATTATATTGCATGTAAATACATACATACGGTATACTGCATAGCTTAACCTCGTGTCTTGATTGGTTGAATCTTACTTTATTCTCTGCTTTCATCAAGAATAGATTAAGTCAGTCAGATTTTTTTATTTTAATCACCAAGAATTGCTCAGGTTTTTTCCTCCTGTTTGGGTGATGCCAATGTACCTGACTTTGGATTAGGTAATGGACTAACCATGTCCATTCAAGATAGCTGTTCTCTTGCTCTCTGTACATCCCCTGCTTGACCAGTCCCTGCTTCACTCACATGACTATCCAATCCTCTTAATTATGGGGCTTAATTAGTCCCTGGTGACTGATGAGCCCACCTGACGTCAATTCCTGAAGGAGGCGGCTGCTGCCCGCCGCGTCAGGCGCTCTGGGGCCAGCCCCGGGGGCCTTCCACCCCTTTCAAGCCCCGTGACTGCCAGAACGCTGTGTTCACTCCTGTGAAGAAGGCGCCAGGGTTTCTCTCATTTACCTGCTTCTGGGACCAGCCAGTAGCTCTTGCATTTCTTCCCTGGCTGGGACCTCTGGTACCATCACTTGGTAAAGGGCTGACAACTGCAGTCCTTGTCTTTTTTTTTTTTTCCCCCAGATTTCAAGGGGAATTTTTCAACTTTCCATCTCTGTGCCTGCTCAAGACCCCACCGGTCTCCAGGAGGGGTTGGTGGGGAAGGAAGCAATGGCTCTAGGATCGCTGACAGTCTGGTCAAAGGACTTCGTGACCTTTGAAGAAGCGGCGGTGGGTGCTTCCATGAGGAGGGGGCGTTGCTGAACTCTGCTCAGAAAATCCTGTAGGATCGTGGTGCTGGAGAACTGTCGGACCCTGGCCTCAGGGGTGGGGAGGAGGTCGTCTCTGCAGAAACCCAGTCTCAGCGCCCAGGCGGAGCGGGAAGGGCTAAAGATGGAGGGGAGAATTCTCCAAGACACCTTTGCAGACCAGAAGCCTCAACTTAAAACCAAAAAGACCACTGCAAAGCAGATTAAGTTTGGGGAAAACCATCTACTGGCAGGAAAAGCTGCAGACCTTTTTGTCGGGGAGAACCCTCGTGAGTGGAAAGAAAGCCAGAAAGCCTTTGGTTACCACTTAACCCTTAATCAACAGGCTCCATCTCAACCTCAAGAGAAACGCCAGGAATATAATCTACGTGGAAAAGCCGCCGGGAGGAATTCTGACTATATTATGTCCGAGAGAAATTACACAAACAAGAAATGTATTGAAGGGAGGAAATGTATTGAATGCAGGACAGCGCTCTGTTAGGATTCACGTGTGATGGAGCTCAGCTGGTAAGAAGCTCCCCACCTCTCCCTTTTTTTGGGTGGAGGGGGCAGAGCTCAAGGGGGGCAGGGGTGGGGGAGAGGGCTAGCGGACCCTGGCCATGAAATTGAAGTCCTGGAAAACCACCTACTCGGTAGCTGTGAGTGGCTGTGTGTCCCAGGGTGGGCTCCGCATGGGGCATTCCCCTGTGAATTTCTTGTCGAAGTTGCTCCCAGCTGTGCCTTGTGAAGTGTGGGCGTGAAGGGCAGATGCAGGTAGTCGGATTTCCCAGCACAGAGTCCTGGTGAAGGGATTTTTTTTTTTTTCTCGCATCCTCTACATTCCTCTTGCTGGACCCTGAGCTGGCGAGTGACCTCCTCATATCTGAGTTTGGAAAGATCACATTGTGGAAGATAAACTCATCTTCTTTACCTAACATTATGGTATTTTAAAAATAGATGTCATTATCATTATTATCTTCAAATGTTAGAACTAGAGAGGCCTTGGAGGTGTGGTCTAACACTATCTACAGGCTTTAAAAGAACCCAGATTGGGAAAAAGAGAAAGTTCTATATCAGTTCCCTGAATAGCTGGTGTCAGGGAATAAAATAGTATTGCTTGAAACAAAACTATGCGTTGCATCATGTTATACTTAAATTCAAAATGTTTTTTTAAGAATTGATAGAAGTTTGAGATTTCTTAGGTGTTGAGTAAGCCAGAAAAGGATTTTCGAGTTTTCAGGGGAATTTTAAGCAATTCAGGCATAGTTGTTAGGAAAATAGATTTTTGTCATAAAAGTTGTTATGATTAACTTCACAGATAAATCCACAGAAGTTTAATTTATAATATAGCTGAAGTTACCATCCTCTTGGTTGTTATTCAAACTAATTTAGGCAAAAAAGTGATAGTTGGTGGGGGGTGTGGATTGAATGGTTCACAGCCCTGCCAGGCTAGAGGCCATATGCATCTTGATCACTGTTGCACCTTCAATACCTAGCAAAGTGCTTGGCATGTAGTAGGTGCTTACTGAATATTTCCTGAATGAATGAACTATAGTTGGTTTAGTTCACATAGTTGGATTTTGTCTCTCTCACACACACCATTTTGAGGTGTCTAAATGATCCCTGAGAACCTATTATTACTTATATTTTCTATATCCTACTCTCAAGTCACCTGCATAGAGAGCTCCCTGGTATTTTAAGCCATACTGTTGCAACTTGACTTAAGAAAAGACCAGAATGAGAGGTAACTTTTAGCCCAGTTCTGCAGCTGTCAAAATGGCACTTCAGTAAGAAAGTATGCTTCTATGAAATAGATCCTTTTTGAGCATTTTCCTAAATCTTATATAAATATGAAAAGTTCTACCACACATACATTAAGGGAACTAATGTCAGAGAATAAGTTTTGTTTTTCTTCATGTGTGTTTCTCCTGTTTTTTGAACACCATAGGTTGAGAAGCTCTTCAGGCTTGCCTTCTGCAAATCGTTGGACAGAAACTTTAACTGCAGATATGGAGAAACTGTGCTGAGAACCCTGTGATTCTGATCATCCCCAACATGAAGAAATGCATTTGAAGGTAAGACCTTGGACACATTTTAGTCCTTCACTTGGGTCAGATAATGTTTGCTGAGCACCTGCTATGTGCTCCACACTGCTCTGGACATGGAGGGTACGGAGATGAATAAGACTTGGGCATTGTACCTGATTGGTAAAATCTAATTTTCTTGCTGGTTCAGATGTTGGAGGTAAATTTTCTTTTGAAAATTCATGTGAGAGGTGTAAGGTAAAGCCATGTTTTTCTGAGGTGTAATTCACACAAAACATTATGTTAATTTAAAGAATACAGTGTAATGATTTGATATCTTTGTAGGCTGCAGAATGATCACCATAATGCATCTAGTTAGCATCTAGTCTTCTTAATTATTCAGCCAGTGGGCATTAAAGCCAGTTCCATTGCACAGGTTTTCCCAGTTTGTCCTCTGTTGGTCAAACAGAAATCACCTGACTGGGTCTTCCCTCTACAGAGGAAAAGTGGTGACCCAGGGGGAGGCCTGACTTGCTTCAGGTCTCAAACGTGCTGCTGTTCTAGGATTTGGCTCCGCACACTTCAGGTGCCAACTAGATAATTGGATATTGACTAGATTAAGAAGGATAAAAGAAAGGGGACAGAGATCTCTCTTTTCCTTTGAAATTCAGGCTCAAACACTGGGCTAAACGACCCTTAAATTCCGTACAGCTGTTGGAAGTCCCCACTTCTGTAACCCATGGCATCCTTGTCTGCTGAGAGTAAGCAGCATCAGAGGAGCCACCCTATCCTTGTGGTGGAGTTGCTGCCAACGTTAGGCTTTACCAATAGGCATCTAACTGGGTGTCAGTGGAGCCCTGAAAAGTCTGCTTTTTCCCTGTATGTCTTCAGGTGGGCCCATGTCAAGATCATCTGTTAAGGAAGCTCTGCAGTTGCAACATTTTCAATGACTAGTTTTCCTGAGCTTCGGAACTGTAGCAGGAAAGGATGGGTTGCCTGGAAGGAGGTTAATATGGTTCCCTCACTGGAGTGGTTTGGGTATGTTACAGGAGCAATTTCTGTATGGGGTGATGGCTAGGCTAGAGTCATCAAAGTTCAGTGTAATATCTAAGTCAGCAATTCTATTGCAGTTATCATTCAGGAGGTAAAAGCAGATAATGCCCATTCCTTAAAGGCTTTTGTTTTAAAGGCTTTTGTTTTAACCAGGCTTGAATCTGCTAGGATTTTTATAACTGGCCTAGAAGAGGTCCATCCCTGGACTGGAGGGTGGTGCAATGAGGGGACCATCATAACATTTGAAAAATATTTTTCTTGTACCCCCCGCGCTGCAGCAATGACCTCAATCACTTGTTTTCTCCTTCTTGAGTTAGTGGCTTGATGGCTTGCTTAAGTGTTGTTTACATGTAGCTGGTTAGAAATGCAGACTTTGTTTCAACAAAGAAAAAAATAGAGGGCTTGAAAATAGTTTCCTGTTTCTATTACAAATTTAAAGTTAAAAATTGTAAGCTGTTAAGTGGTGCTGAATTTTGCTGTTTTGCTGAAAATATGGTCAAACTGGGAAAAGATGCCTTACTCATCACCTTTCTTTCCTTATGTTCTCTCAGGGTTGCCAGCATAGTGGGTTATCAGAATCTTCATTGTGTCTTGAACTGTATACAAACAAATCCTCATTTCCTCAGGTGATTTTAGAGGGCAAATAACTGAGTTTCTAGCCAAAATCCAAAGGGTAAATAATTGAAAATTAACAAGAAAAGGGGTGGAGCAGATGTTTCATGTAGCCATCTTATGAGACCTACTTAACTAAAGCACTTATAGAACATATTTGAATGATATTGTGTCATGTAATTAAAATGCCATCCGGAAACTGCTCCATTTGATTAACAGCTATAAATTCATATGCACAGCGTTTATCAAAATGTTATGTGCTAGCTTTTCCACATGTATTACTTATAGTCAATATAACACTCAGAGATGGGATCAAATTTCCATATCTTGCTGATAAAGCAACCGAGGCTGAGAGAGGTAATGAGCCTAACTTTTCATAGCCGGAGCCAGGAGCTAACTCCAGGTCTGCCTTCACTACAAAACCCATGCTTTTTTCAGGGCATCAGAACAAACTATTTTTGGGTAAGCATGAGTCCCTTCACCTCAAATGCACGCCATGATTTTCTAAGAATATGGGCTCCCTGAAAAGTCCCTTGAGGATATGACTATGTGGGATGGTGACATGATGGGAAAGACAGAAAAGTCCTAGCACAAGGTTCGTTCTGTTCTAAATATTCCAGATGAGGGGTGGGTGTGGGACAGTCTGATGCTTTTAACTTACTTTCTTGCCTCTTAAAAAACATCATAGATTTTGCAGACAAAACAAAGTACCCTGAACAAAGTTAAGTATAATGGTTCATTTTATGGTGTTAAAATCCTATTCAAACATTTTATGATGTGCTTTGTTTATTGTGGTTTATTCTGCTAAATGAGTTTCTTGCCAGTCTGTTTCTTAGCTGCCTTGTGAGTAACAGGATTTAAGATTTTGTTTTCCAAATTGTACATTTGGCCCATTGGTAGTGGTGGTCATGGTGATGAAGAGCTCCTGATGAACTGTGTGTATGTGCTTGTGCACTGGGGGCATGGTAAGGCTGCAGCATTTCTCTTAAACTCTTAAAAGGCTTGGGACTACATATAAATAGTTTATGACTACTAGTATAATGTGAGAGGTATTGAAAAGAAAATGCATGGAAAATTTTCTCCTTTTTAAAATCTAGGCTACAGTACTTAAGAAGATTTGTTATTAATCTTTCTCCTATAATGGGAGTTGTGGGTGGCTGTGGGCCAGAAAGATTGGCACAGTGGTATACACGCAGTTGAACATTGGTTGATTCACAAGCCAGGAAAGGCATGGGAAGAGGACTGCATACCCTGGAGCAGAGCTCCTTGGGGTTAGTTCCAAGTTCCTGATAAAACTAGAAGCCAAAAGATCTTTGACCCTTGACCAATCATGAGTTTGATTTCTATCTCATAAAGACCTTACTATGAGGCTCCTAGGGACAAGGGTATAATGAAGACCCACGTCTAAGATAAGCCTTTAATACTTACACAGTTTTTGGCAGAGCTCAGCCTCCCTGATACAACTCTGGCCTAGTGGGAGCCAATCCTAAGTGAGCCTGGCCTGGAGACTTAGTAGTGCTAAGTTTAAACTTCATGCTAATTTAAGTAGGATCAGGAAAGAAGATTTTGTTTTCTTATCAGGGTCATTTCTGGAACCTAGAGACCTAATACGGTATTTCAGAATGTTTTCAAAAGAGTACCCTTTGAAAGTGCAAATACGGCCCTTAGACTGGCCTTTCCAACATTTTTATGAGGAAGGCTTTCCTTTTCTCAAATCTTGTGTCGCTGAGAGTAGGGGAAGCAGGTACAGAAGATTAAGATAGGAAGGACTGTTACCTGGGAGTCAGGTTACCTGGCAAGAGTCCCCCTGGTTGGGCCCCCCTCCTTGCTTTCAAGCCTTGAGGATGGATTTGGAGGAGAAAAAGCACGACATTGGAAACTGGTTAGGAAAACAGATTGGGAGGCCTTTGAGGTCTACAGCCAGGTTCTAACCAATGGGTCAGATGCTGTTAAATTAAACCATTGATACGAATTGGTGAATCTCTGAGTGGCCATTTAATGAACAGAACATGAACAGAAGCTGCAGGCTAGAACTCAGTCTTTGCTGGACGCTAAGGCAGGGTTCCTTTCCAGGCTCATGTGACCTTGAGCACTTGTCTTGGAACACTTGACTAATTTCCAAAGGTCAAATTTATAAAACAAAGCTTGCTATTTGAGTTCATGTAACTAGCCTCAACTTGGCAAGGTGCAAATCTGAAATTTTACTTTGCTCTAATCGTTGTCCTCAACTCTTGATTTTCACTTTGTTTTCTTGCTAAGTAGTATCCCAAATAACATTGGATGGAATCTGAATTCTCTCTGTCACTTCTAGCTTAAAAGAAATCCATCCAGTTTAAAATTCTAATCTCCTATGTAACTTAAATCTTGTATCTCTGACCGCTTGAAGTGGGAAGCGTCTGAGACCCTTTGTCATTTTCCTCCATTCTGTTTAAAATGTGGCCTGCTCTATGCCTGTATAATATCAGTTTGGGGTCTTAGGTGCTAATTCAGGAGCAACAGAAAATGTCCCACTTAACTTTCTGTTATGCTGTCTTTTCTTCCTACACAATTTTGCCTATCATTGATTTCTTTTTCCCCAAAACTGACCCTGTCACCAAGCAGAGAATGAAAGGACATAACTGAAGCATAGCTGGTAATAGAGGACCATATAACTTACAATCCAAAAGGCAACACTTTTCAGGGTGAGAGGGATCCAGTAGGTAAAACAGGACATCAGGACAATGCATGTTAACAGGGAATGCCCTTGGAAAACTGGGATAGATGTTCACAGTAGCTCTTGACCCTTTGAACATGTTGGTTCTTTCTGGCATGCCTGTACCTAGGTGTGCAGGTATGAAGATAAGGAATAGCAGGTATGTCTTGGTCTCCAGAGGAGGCAGACTGTGCAGTTGTTAATGTCTGGTGAAGGTCATGCTCTATGGAGTATCTAAGTCTCCCTAAGAGGTTAATAACAGGATAAAGTGATATAGTTAAAGCATACATCACTTACATGAACTCAGTTCTACAAACACTTTTGATATACTTTTGTTGCCAAGCTCTTTGGATTATAAAGATGGATTATGATGGATCCTGCCCTTAAGAGTTTATGATCTGATGTTGGAGAAAAATGTGAACAAATACCTACAGCACAGGAGGAGTGTCTTACAGAAAGGAACAAGGCAGACTTTCTGTCTCAACTCTGGTAAAAGGCAGGTTCTTTTAAAAGAGGGTATTTTTGTAGTATCTTATATAATTTGGTGATTTCTTTTAGATGTTAATCAAAATAATAGAACAGGAAGTGATCACATAATGGGATGATGTTTCAAAAACAGTGCTACTATGAAGATTTATATTTCAAATTATTTGTATAAACAGGGATCAGCAATCTTGCTTGGAATCATTTTTGT